ACAACGGATATAATCCGCCTGACCGGTTCATCGCATCGGAAACAAAAAAGCGAAAGAATTTGAAACGTTTATCACGATGTTTTTCGTCAGTCGATAACGCGTTAGTGAATAGTAGTGTGTTGCGTGGCTCAAACGAAATCAAAAATGGCACATGTTTACGAAAATGCTGAACTTGTGGACATGATTCTTATTTACGGGGAGGCAGTCAAATGCTCCCGGATGCATCACGGATTTATGCGAATCGGTTTCCCAATCGAGTGCAACCAACCCCTCGTGCCTTTGTTAATGTAGTATAAAGGGCTCGTGAATCAGGTGACTTAAGACCTCACAGGTGAGGACATGCTGCTCCAAGACCGCACGATCAAATACAGGTCCGCACTGAAATACTTGTCGGGATGATACTTTATTAAACAAGGTAACATTTTTTTTTTATTTTTACACACATATTTTGGTTTATCTTCCTTCTACAATCATTATCTGAAAATTAATGACTCAACTTCAAAGTCACCCTGTATATATATATATATATATATATATAAGTGTATCGTCCGCAAATACTTGAACTTTGCAGTGTTCTAAAATGTCAGAGATATCATTTATATAAATAATAAATAGTAACGGCCCTAATTTACTCCCCTGTCTCACCCCTACTGATATATTTTGAACAGTTGATATAATATTTCCAACTTCAGTTTTTTTACTTCTATTTACTAAATAGTTTTTTAAAATGTGTGATACTGATCGTTTAAAGCCATAGTGACGTAATTTCATTAACAATTTTTCCCTATCTATAGTCTCTCCCTTTTGAAGTCTAAAAATATTGTTTCAATATATTCTTTCTCATCTATACTTCTCCTCCAGTCTTCCACCACTATTTGGATTGCTGTTTCTGTGGAACATTTTTTTTAAATCCGTCTTGATTTTTTATCAACATTTTGATTTCTTCAATGGATTCTATGATATGTTCGTATATTATCCCTTCGAACATCTTCTCGACATCGGGCAAGACATAAATCGGTCGCATATATTTGTATACAGCTGAGAATTTTGAACTTTTGGCACAGGAGTAATGGTGAAATTCTTTAATTTTGATGGGAATTCACCATGTACTAAACAATGATTCCCGAATAATAATAATTTCTCTCCAATTATATTGAAACTGATTAATGAATTTTGAGGTGATTATTATCACCATCATCTTCAGTGTGCTCCATTGCAAAATTATCAGCTATTGACACGTTGTGTAAAACGCAGGACACTCGTATGAAATTCACTGTCTGCCTGATGCTTCTTAACCTGGCAAACTGTTGACGTTCTAAAAACTCTAGCCAGTAAACATACTGATAATTTTCAAATTTTGGTCGCACATAGCTTATCTGGAATGAAAATAATTATAATTACAAATAGTTATATCATGCAAATATACTCGTATTTTAGAGATGTATGAAAACTAGAGTATGGAAGGAATGATTACTTACGATTGAAGCTAAACACAACAGTTATTTTAAGACAATTCTCGGTAAGCTGTACGTTATATATTCAGAAATTAGTAACTTTACTTCGTGCATAGATATATACCCATAATTAAACCATGCAACCTGTATAGAGTAGCATCCTTTTCTATCAATATATTAATAAATAATAAGTCACACAAACATCTCCTTTATCTTAAATAATCAGAAATTAGAAATTAACCGAGCAATGAGATATAAAATACTTTGAAATATTCCTGGATCCACACTTGCGTTGGTGTGTTCATATTTCAGATATTTTAAGAAAGTTAGATATGTCTTGTATAGAATTAAATACATCAAAAACATTTTAAAATAAAAATATCTCTAAATTTTATAATATACCTTGATCGAGCCACATTTAACCTACCGTATATTGAGTGCTCAACTCATATTTATGATTCAGATATTTCTCAAAAAAATGGTTCTAATAACGATGTTTAATAAACCAGAATTGTATCCAACTGATATCTTATACAAAGATATATACGTGTATGACTTAAAACAAGTGTATCTCTTACATGCTATAGCCAACTATCAGAAATTTATTAATAACGGCCAAAAAAGGATCCACGTTTTGGGAAGAATTAAAAAGAAGTTACAAGAAAGGACTTTTCCTCTGGCAAGACCACACGTACACAATTTAATAGTAAATGTGAACATCAAATAATTCGTGGATTAGTTGTATCTCTATTAATATTTCAATAATATGTACAATTGCAACATTAATCTTCCAAAGCGTCCTCGTCCCCCCACAATCTCGATACACTAGCAACAAAGGAGCGGTCGTATCGGCCAGTTCTGGATGTACGAAGTTCGAGGTTAGGATGGAAAGCCGAAGTCAGGCGGGTCTATCTGGCAGACACATCACTCGGGGGCATCATCCAGAAGAGATCTGAGGAGCAAAGCTCTTCGCTTAGTGGTAGAAGAGAGCTGGATTGTCTGTTAGAGAAGCGTCATCGATCAGTAACTGCCTTTTGCGAAGCCATATTAGTCGTCAAGATAGTTTCGATATGAGGAGCAGACTTGCAAAATGCATTTTGTCCAAATTTTCCATATTTGAGATAGAGGTGCCGCTTCATTCCCATGATGAAATACTAACTCTTTATGAACATTTGAACACTCGAAATGTTTTTAGTACCCGTGTTGTTAGGGGGGAAATAATACGTAGACAAACAAACTGATTTAAGTCCACTAACATTGTACTTTCAAAGTGCATTTAGTCCATAAACATTAACAAAATGCATTTTGATGGGATTCTCGTTCATTTTGTCAGAATCTCTGTTATAGTTCGGTGTTACTGAAAAAAGAGGAGGCAATCGAAAATCTCACAAATTTCTCAACAAATTTAATGAGGTGAAAAATTTCATGAGCAACCTGAAAGGGAAAGAAAGTCATTACGGCCGTTCCAAATCAAGAAGAATCTACTTATCTGCCGAAAACAGCATTGCTAAACTTTGCAACTTCTATAATGAAAAAGTGGCTAATGACAAAAAAGTACATTATAAATACTTTAGCAGGGTCTTCAGTAATCACTTTAACATAGACTTTGGTAGCCCGGCTAAAGATGTATGTAATTTTTGTGTTAGAACAGCAACGAAAATCAGTAATGCGAGGAATATTATCGATAAAGGCCAACTTGAGCCACATTTGAAAGTTCACACGGTTATGGCGCCTCAGTTTAATAAAATAATCAAAGGAGTACCTCCTAACTCAGTGTCTTTTTGTTTTGACTTACAACAAGTGCAGGTTCTCCCAAAAGTTTCCATACAAGAAGCTTTTTGTGCACAGCAGCTGTCATTTTACTTTTTTGCGTTACAGCCACAAACTGTAAAAACCCAGTTCTTTATTCATGAATGGAACACCAAGCTGGCAGTGGAGCGACAGAAATATCTTCAGCCCTGCTTGATTGATTGCCAATTTTGCCCGGAATATACTCTTCGGTTCTTCTCTGATGGATACGGGGGGCAAAATAAAAATAACTTTACCATCCACATGCTAATGTTATGGTTATACAGCTTTGCTCCAGAAACGATTAAAAAAATAGAAGTTATCTTCCCAGTGCGAAGACACTCTTATCTTCCGGCAGATATAGAATTTTTGGGAGGGTGGAAAAGATTTTAAGTCGACACGGGGTCATTGAAACACCTGATAAATGTTGGGAACTTTACAAACAAGTAGGTGAAATCAGAAAACTTGGAACTGATTGGTCATAAAACAAGCTTCAATCTGTTTGAAAAAAGTCCTAGGAAGTAGCTTAAGTAGAAAAATAATCATCAAACGAGGAAAGCCCTCAGGCGTTGTGGTGAAATCTGAATTGCTGTATCGAACGGATAATCCAGCAAAAAAACTCCCAAACTTTGTTGAAACCTAAAAAGCGGTTGAATGAAATTGAACTTCCCGACGTACTATTTAGATATGAAATAAAGCAGAAAAAGCTTGATAGTCTAAAACACCTACTTGCTACATTTTGTCTGGTGACACCCGGAGCTGAAATGGATAGCTGAAATATTTGAGAAAACTGTGACAAACTGTAATGATGAAGATGAAGAGCACCAAAATCACGAAGCAGCTTGTGGATGCGCTGAGAATGGTGATAATGAATTCATTTAAAAATAAAATCGTTTACTATTAATATTATAATGCAAATTTTGTTTTGTTTCATGATAATGTTTCAATATAAACTTTTTTTTAAATAAAACACAATTTTTTATTTTTGTTAACTTGACATTGACATTCAAATTGCATTTTGTCCACCAGAGACAATCAAACTGCATCAGGGGTTACCGATTACTTTACGCACAAACCAATCACCGCACATCCAGTGAGTAATTTACCCCCTTGTATGCTACGCCTCTGTCAGAAACAAACGATAATATCCACTGACATCTTACCCATGGGTCAATGCAAATCTCACAACATTTGGTTCTATGTCAAGACTGACGTTGTCAGAGTATTATGTGTTCTGTGATAGACAGTGTTGTCCGTGTTGTCAAAAAATGAACCGGTGGGTATGTGATGTTTGCATGTATTTTTTTGTTGACATCATCTATCCATAAGTTTCACACATTCTCAAGAATATGAATTTGCATAAAGTCCATAGTGAGTTTTTAGGGTAACAGAAATAATACACTACATAAATACTTAAGGTAGGCCATATCCAGTTTCACTAAACTTTTTATTAATACAAATTTTCATTCCAGGACCTACCATCTGCAAGCAAAAACTTTACCTCCTGTAAAATCTGTAAAAATGACCAGTGTCTACATTGGCAGAAAGTCCCGCAATGTTCGTATGCTATTGTGCTTCTGCATATTAGTTTGCATTTTTTACTTGTTAATAAGCTATGACAATTCGAGAAGTAATTCTAGCATTAGTGATCAAATATCATCTCGAATTACATATAAGGATAGACCAAAGTTGGTAAAAGGTCTAGGTAACTTTGAGCCAAAGGAAGATGATAGTAGGGATGGACCTGGAGAGGGTGGTCAGCCACATTACTTGGGGTAAATGCATTTCAAAACTTGTTGATCTGTTGAAATATATTTATGATGACTTTCATAGCTCAGCATTGATTAACATATTTTCATATGGAGAATTACCTTCACACCTACTAAACCAGCAGAAATCAGACATGAATAGCAGAAACAACATTGAAGCACTTGAAATGAGATATATTGATATCTTCTCAGCACATGATAAAATCCTGTTATAAGATAGTCAAAAACAATAGTACTTCAACCAGTACTGTTATGTTATCATAAATTATGAACAATTATTTGATTAGGAGGAGACAGATCCACTTAGAGTCAGAGATTAAAATAATCTATACTGAAATATGAAAACTCAAATGCAATGTGATTTGAAGAGCTGTGATCTCCTTGGTCAACTTTGATCATTATTATGATTTTTCCTATCAAATCCATATTAAAATATACATACACATTTCTGAACCTGGTACTTGGTATACTTGACCCATGTTACTATGTATAAGAATAAAAAATAAAGCTACCTTTTAAAAATGGGAAATATTTAAATACCACTAACAGTATACCAAACCAACTATCATTAATGTTATACTAACAGGATATTGTCTAATATTTTTAGTCAAGATCAACAAAATGATGCAGATCAGTCAGAGTCAGAGTATGGAATGAATGTTGCATGCTCAAATGAGATCTCATTGGATCGTTCAGTGCTCGACACTAGACTTCCTGAATGCAAACATTGGGACTATCCTCAGTATCTTCCTTCCACTAGTGTTATCATTGTTTTTCATAATGAGGGCTGGTCAGTACTGTTAAGGACTGTACATTCTGTTTTAAACAGGTAAGCAATTGTACTTTATCAAATTAATTATTGACAGAGCTAAAACTATGTTGTCTATGAAATAGTGTTATTCTAATATCTGTAGTTTTAACTCAAATTACCTATACCTATTGCTCTAGCCTTTGAAAACCAATAATTTGTATGCTTATTTCAGGCCTATATTGCCTAGTTTATTTCTTATGTTTGAGATACAAAATGTTTTCTTGTTTACTTTAATCTCACATATTATGATCATAAAATACTAAATCCATAGATAACATAAATTGTTATTTTGATATGTTGAATCATCCTCTGAATTTTTCCATTTACACACCTTGGCACTTTATGAATTAGTTAATAAGGAATTCCAAATGCAAAAATGTGTTTATCCTTAGGTCTATTTTGTGTAATGTTTGTCGCAAGATTATTATATTATACAGAATAAGATTCAATTGTTATCATCCCATTAGTAAAATGTATTGTATTTGAACATTGCTTGCATATTGTCCTCTGTATTCACAAAGATTTGAATGAGTTTTAATATAAAATCATTTATTCCTTGTATTAAGAACAGCACCAGGTCCATGCTATTAAAATTTCAAAAATTGATACTTTTGGGACCTCGGTTGGCCGCGTGGGTCAGAGTGTCGTGCTACTGATCAGCCGGCCGGCCGGGCCGCGAGTTCGAATCTCGCCTTCGCCATGGATGTTGTGTGTTTGTTTTAGGCAGCAGCGGTGGCCGCAGTAGTAGACTCTTCGGTCTCCTGATCAGCCGCCGTGCGCTGTGCGGGTTCGAGTCCCGTCCCAGGAGAAATGTTTCTCTTGGCCATGGATGTTGTGATTGTCCGTAGGTGGTAGATGGTCTCTGACTGTCGAACGCGGAGGTACCACCCGGCGGTTCTCGTAGGCGGAGCCAGAATGTGTGCATGTTGCATGCACACGTGTTCCCTCGCCAGAGTCCGTGTGGCGTCCCCCCTTTCCCATGTATCCCCCATAGCCCCACGGTACCCAATGGGTGCTTAGGCCTTAGGCCTTCGTGGTAGTTGGAATATAAAAAAAAAAAAAAAAATTTATGTATGTTTATGTATATTATGTTATGTAAATGGTATTTTGCGCTGTCTTATTTTGATAGATCTGATACTTTTGACAGGGCATAGTTGCTATGCTTCTGTTCACTTTCTAGACCATGCTAGATGAAAGCAGAGCATGTTTAGATTGATACTTTATGTAACTTACCATAATGCATATATTAGAAAAGCATTCAGACATTTTCAAAACTTTGAAGAAGTTCGGGTAGATTGAAAGGCACTTAGGACAAGTAAAGTTTAGCTTTGAAAACCTACATATCTACATCAATCTAACATTGCAAAATGTGTGTTAGGAACTTTCAAACAGCTTTTGATAGTAGAAACAAACAAGATAACGTATGTATACTTTTAATAGGTCTCCAAAGCACATGTTGAAAGAGGTCCTTTTAGTGGATGACTTCAGTGACAAACCAGATTTAAAGGAAAAGCTAGAAAATTACATAGAGCAGTTCAATGGACGTGTAAGACTGATTAGAAATACCCAAAGAGAAGGTTTGATTAGGACTAGGTCTCGCGGAGCACAGGAGGCTAAGGGAGAAGTCATAGTTTTCTTAGGTGAGATGCTTCTCAGATCACTGCTTTTATGGTCAATTGTTATACCACACAGACAATTATCCTACCTTCTCATATTATATATTGAATACTAAAAATCTTACCTTTGATAATTTTTTGAGATCAACAGCTCCAAAATGTACCATACACATGTTTTTTTATTGCATGACCTACTTTGTCAAATATATTCTTTGAGTGAAAATCCTACCATAGCAAAATACCTGATTTTTGACAAGACTGTCGCCTTTGGTAGTATTCTATGCTTCTGGAGAAAAATATGTGTCAGAATTTTTGTTTCATCACTTAAGTTGACTACACTTCTGGGATTTTCTTTGCCCTTAGTCCTCAACATGTCATGCAATAGAGGGTACATTCCTCCCTGAAAATAACAAAAATGCCAAGATGAGTGAAAGACTGGGCATAAGTTGAAGGCGAAACAAAAAGCGAAAAACGTCACACCAGCATACATGTTCATCAGTACTTATCCAACTCTCATGCTTACTGTTTATAGATGCACACTGTGAGGTGAATAAAAACTGGCTTCCTCCTCTATTGGCTCCAATCTATGTGAACCGCTCAACAATGACAGTTCCTGTTATAGATGGTATCGACCACAAGACATTTGAATATCGTCCTGTTTACACAGAGGACAAACATTTCAGGGGAATATTTGAGTGGGGAATGCTTTACAAAGAGACTGAGGTGACTTTTAATTAATTTTCCTGTTTCCTATCTATGTTTAGACTTTCTAGGAGTCGTTTCACAATATAAACTTTTTAGGTGCCTGACAGGGAATTGAGGAAAAGGAAGCACTTCAGTGAACCATATAAGAGTCCTACACATGCTGGAGGGCTTTTTGCGATAGATCGAAAGTACTTTCTAGAGTTGGGGGCATATGATCCAGGTAGATTCATGATTAAACTTTAATTATTGAATTTTCATTTTCGTTCTCCTTGTCTACGAGTGAATGAAACTCGTACGCTGAGGTAATTTGAGAGGCTGATTTTAGATGTGGTCATAGAAATATCAAAAAGTGTAGAAAAACTCTATTGTTACACTTGAGCAATCAAAAATTAGTAACCAAGTAATAAAAATCAATGGCTTCTACTTCAGATAGTATGTCAATTCTTTTTCCACATACACACCCTTATGTGACAAAACTTGCCTTTTGGCAAACTCAGCCGTGGTAGTCTTAGTTAATGAGGGGTCAGTATAATCGGTATTGCGTCCGAACAACTAGTGGCGGCCCTGTATTTAAGCTTCTCTTTTTTGCCGTAATTAACAAAAAAGATTCACTAAAATTGGTCATTCCTTCTATACTTGTTTCCTTGCAGGTCTTCTTGTGTGGGGAGGTGAGAACTTTGAGTTAAGCTTCAAAATTTGGCTGTGTGGCGGCAGCATAGAATGGGTACCATGTTCTAGAGTGGGTCATGTCTACCGCAGCTTTATGCCATACAATTTTGGAAGTTTAGCAAGAAAAAAGAAAGGATCACTTATCATTATTAACTACAAGCGGGTCATCGAGACCTGGTTTGATGCCAAATATAAGGAGTTTTTTTATACAAGGGAACCTCTAGCCAGGTATAATGTTTGATCGATTTTTTGTTTCAAGTACAAGTTTTGTAATTTTTTTTTGTAATACTTAAATGTTTTGGGGCTTGCAATGTTCTGAACCAGTTTGTGTGAGGAAAAAAAATAGTTTTCGTTTTATTACCTAAGGCACAGGAAGTACATATTTGTAATCGTGAAAAGTTACGAAAATAAGATGTTATGGTTTTTGGATGTTATATGACATGATTGTACATCACGAAGAGACTTCAGAGACTCTTGATTATTTTCAGAAAATTTTACGTAGGGGTTGTGGTAGGGTTTATCTATTTTTTTTTTGGTAGCAGTATATTTATACGCTTCCAATCCCACTAATTTTACGCATCTATCAGTACATATTTCAAATGTTTCCCCGTTAAGCCCGACCATGTTGCGTAGGAAATGCAAGGTCAACTTACTTGGCGCCTTTTTTTGTAGGCATTATGATATGGGTGATATTGCGGAGCAGCTAGCCCTAAAAGATAGGCTAAAATGCAAAAGTTTTCAATGGTTTATGGACAACATTGCATATGATGTCCTTGACAAGTATCCGGAACTACCTCCAAACTTGTATTCTGGGGAGCTATGGTAAGTAAACGATTTAAAGAACAGCAAAAGGACAATATTAATTTTTTAATCGACTGTTGGAAAAATATATTTTCCGTTTTAGGTCTGTTGCGGTTGACAAATGCCTCGACACTCTGGGAAGTTCCCCTCCTTCATTGATGGCCATCCAACACTGCCATGGTTTTGGAAACAATCAGCTCATAAGACTGAATACCAAGGGACAGCTAGGCGTTGGTGAACGATGTATTGAAGCTGATTCCCAAGGTCAGTATATAGCATGACAAAGTTCAAGTTAGATAAGATATCACTACAGTCAATATGATCTTTTAAGTTGAAGAGATATTGCTAAGTGTCCTTTTGCAAGTAGCCAACATTTCAGCGTTTATCTTTCGCCTTCTGCAGGGATGAAGAATGTGGAGAAATACGTTTGTAAAATTTCGGAAGAAGACTTAAGAAATCCATACTGTTTGCAGATATATATATATATATGAGGACCAGTCATGAATTCTGATGATGAAAAGATGTTGCTAATATTAGTCGGAAACTGGCAAGTGCCATTACATCTGGAGAAAGGCTTTTGTGATAGATTTTCCGCATTTTTGATAAGAGGAGCAAAATTTACGTTCAAGCATCTTGGGAATGTCCTTGGCTATTGCCTTCAAAGTCAATACACCAAAAACAATTTGCTCTAGCAAAGCTGACCCTAACAATGACATTCAAGGCCAAGTCAAATCTTCCAAAGTAACCATTCTTATACTGGAAATGGAAAAGCAGGAAATTTTTCGCCCTAATATGATCTTGATCTCAAGTAACATTCAAACTTGGCGCGACTTTGACTTTGAGTTCAAGGTCACATTCTGACTTAAAATTTTCTGCTTTTTCCACTCCCAGTATAAAAATGCGTGGTTTGCTTTGAAAACTTTGACTTGACCTTGATGGTCATGATAGAAGTGACCTGTTGGTGATTACCACAAGCTTATCAATTGTGCTGTTGAACAAATGAAAACATATTTTCAAAATTACAAATTCTACAAAATGAAGCTATGAGAATCATTTTACATAAAAACAAATATGCTACGGTTAAATCTATGTTAGAAGAACTACAGTAGTTGAATGCGAAAAATTTCATATATTGTTTAGTTCTCGTTCTCATACTCAAAAATCATTTATTACCGCCATACTTAGAAAATTAAATAGTCATTATCATAGCTACGAAACTAGAGGCAGTATAGATTTTCATATGCAAAATTGTAATAGTACCATAATTAATAAATCTATATTTCAAAAGGGAGTATTTGAATTTAATAAATTGAATAATGATATTAAACAGTGTTCGAATTTAAAAATGTTTAAGGTGAAATAAAAAAATCACTTCATGAATAATCAAAATGCATAGTGATGTAATTTTAATAGACAAGAATGTAAAATTACAGAAAATGGATTTAGGAAAAATACATAACCGAATTATTATACAAAATTAACATTGCAACATCAATGCTAAATAAATCTTCAATAAACAAACAAACAAAATCTGACCCTGAAATGGTCTTGAATGCTGAAGGTCGTGACCAAGGTAATTTTCGGATGTAAAATTTGCTCATCTTTCCTATTCCGATGTGAAAAATGGGGGGTTTATTTAAAAATATTCACTTGACCCTTTGATCTTTTGTTTGAAACAACTTTTCTGTGGACTGTGCAGTCTCAGAAATATTTAGATGGGGAGATTAAAATAGGGCGCTGCATAGAGAAGATACAAATCTACTTTTTGATCCTGACAGCATTAAATATTGTATGACAAATAACCCAATAACTATTTATTTACAGTATTAAACTTGAAGTAAATCAAAACCCCAAATAAATCTAAATCAAGGCGATCACGCTTAGAAAACGAATGTTGAAATGAAATTCCATTGAGTCGCTATTTCAAACTTACCTCCCGGGATAAAAGGTATAATCTATCACTGTACCAAATTTCATTCAGATATGCCTAGCCATTTTGGCGTGATTGAGTAACAAGCATGCACTCTTTCTTGTTTATAATATTAGTAGGATGCCTGAAAACAGCTGGGAACTTATCACTACAGACGCAGCTAGTAGCTAGGTTTTGAAAATTATATTTTGTTGCAGGTATCAAACTTCTTCCTTGCCGACTGGGCACCGTTGACGGTCCCTGGATCTACGACAACAACTCCCACACGCTGATGCACAAGGTGTACAAAAAGTGCATGGCATTGCACCCTCAGACTTCCCACCTATCACTGATGCCCTGTGATATCAACAACGCATATCAGAACTGGTTGTTCCGCGAAATCAAGCCGAAGGCCTAGGTATTCGTTTTTAGTATGGCCAGGGCCAGTGGCCTCTTTCATTTTCTGCAGGTCAGGGAATCTAATTAGGTTAGAACTTTGCCATGGAATCTGATTGAAGTATTGACATTATATTTTGAGTTCTTTTAAAATGTAACTTTGCAAACGTAAGTGGTGTCTGTCTCACTATAAAATATAGACCTCTTGATTCATTTATAAAATAAAAAATAAATCGTTGCGCACATGTCTATGGTCCAGGGGGAAGTGCGGATGTACACAAAGAGTGAAAATGGCCGAGTTTAGGGGACATAATAAATGTTTGCAAGGTAACACGTTCGAAGCGCGATGGAGTGGCGTAGCATATGATCGCTATTCGAGGTCGGAGTCGGATTCTACAGTACTACGAACATTTCATTTTAGAATATTGTTCAGTGGCAGATTTAAGAAAGAGGGTCCGGTCGGCACTTTATATATAAATCAAGTGATACATTGTTAGGTTCATTTGTTTTATTTGATTCAGTAAAACAATCATGTAACGTTGAATCCTCATCTTGTTTTTGGTTCAGAGAGAGTAATGGTACTTCTCCATGAGACCTTGCTGTCAGTAATGATGATTACACGAGTTAGTAGTGAAAAACTAAATAGTTTATATGTGAGATCCGGTAGCTCTCATTTGAATGGGATTCTCAGCATTTCAGTAAAAAAAATAATATCGTCAACTTTAAAAGCCCAAATTGAAGACACTGAGATTCCTCATAAATTAATTAGACATGTTGAAGTTGTCTTGACCTTCTGCAAAAAATAGATATTGTTTTGACACCGACCTATATTTGTTGGTTGTTATATGTACAAATAAAAATCTGTATAAAAGTTATTTATGTATATTGTATGGTGGTCGTTGAGAGGATATGCATAATATGCGCATGAGATATTTGCGTATTATAGTTTGACGAAACCATGATTAAGGTATACGCATTCAACTCCAATAATAGCAAGGTTCTGTTCTCGATCAACCAAGTCATAAAACAATGATCCGTATACAATGTGCAATACTTTGGCTTCCAAATTAATAATACATAATTAGATAATTTCAGAAGAATACTAGGATGAATTATAATAATAATCCTTATACCTTGCTTATTTGGTGATGTATTGTTGGTCATACCTCTGGTTTGTATAGTAATGGATACTGAGAAAAGATTAGTCGACACATTCCATATCATTCTATTTATTGAATACGTTTTTGTTATGAGCTATATTTAGGTTAAGTAAAAGCAGAGGTGAAAAACAGAGATTGTAGACAAAATGCTTTTAGTGCGAAATCTATTTTTTATACGTTTTCAACGAATTTCTAACAACTACAAAGTACCAGACACAAAATATATGGAATTTGGCCACCGGTCAATTTGAATAAAAATTCGTACAGTAATAATTCATTTGGTGCTGATCAAATGCTCCAATGGGCGCAAAGCATCTATTGGAGATTCAGGGTGTTAAAGTTTAGCCCCTGTAGGTAAGCCTGCCTGCACTATTTTACGAAAACTAACCGCCCCCTTAGTCGGGTTGGGCTGCTAGTGCGCACACCGAGTCAATTAAACAGTTTGGTCGGTGAAGAGTGCCCAGACCAGCCAACAGTCGGCAGACGCCGACTACCATATTCCGAACGATAATAGTTTGTATCTGAGTATTAAAATAGGACCATATAAAGTCACTAAGTTCCGTTAGTACATTGGAAGCGATTTAGTTTTCGTAAAATAGTGCAGGCAGGCGAACCTACAGGGGCTAAGGCACCAAACTTTAACACCTTATATCTCCAATAAAAAGCATTGGAACTTGATTAGCACAACATGAACTGTCACTATATGAATTTTCTGCAAAATTGGCCAGTGGTTAAATTTAATACATTTTGTGCCTGGTGGTGCTGTCTTAATTTATACCTGTTTTTGTTTATAGCCTTGCTTAGAAATTTATTATATACATATCAGTGGCGGTTACTTTAGAGTAATTGAAAAACTAATCTTGCTAATCGAAGTATGGTTCAATAGGTAATGCTGAAAGGTTTTTGCTTTGTTTTATTTTTTTATAGGAATTGAAGACACAAGCCGATAAAGGTGTCATGTAACATTTTTTTTAATTGTTTTTTTGCATTAAACTAATCTTAAGAAGTGATTCTTTCATTCTGTGATTACTTTGTTGCAAAAACAAGATCTTAAAAGATCTTATTCTGCTGGTATTCTTATTAAAAATGACTTAGAGAAACGTTGATAGTAGAGACCTACCTTATTGCCCCAACAATATTATGAGCATAATTTCCAGACTCAACGTTTGGACTTCATATGATAAACTAGAAAAAATCTTTAAAACGCAGTATTTTCTGTTTTCTTACATATTTATAAACAATACGTTTGACAGATGGGTCTGACATTGACCTGACCAGTTAGGTGTCGCGCGTGTTGTCAAATCGTATGTTGCTTGCGGAGGCTGGCGACGTCGTTGTGGCGTCTCAATAAGGGAGGACTGTAAAGGATGCTATAAAAGTAGGAGGAACGTTTTCTACGATCTTCCTTTGCATTATCTGGCACTTGATTTTTTGTTAGCCATTAGGTTATGAGTAAACTGATTCAAATTTAGGAAACATATTTATGGTGTATGGTGTTACTTCACATAACGGCTGAAAAATGCTTGTATATCTTCCTGAGAATTATACTCTATTACAATATCCTTATGTCCTATGTACTTATAGTTTTCATGACTACAGTGTGGCTTTTCGAGGGCCTATTATGAATGAAATATTAAAGAAAATGTGCAAAATATAGAAGAAAAATGTAGCAGGGTATTCGAAATCAATCATAAAATTTCGTTTGTAGGTTCTCTTTCTATTTAGATTTTGTAATTGTAAATTACAGTTGTTTCCATATTTTTATATAATAACCTACCACTATTTATTAAAAATAAATATAGGAAGTTTTCATATTTGCTTTGTATTATTATTCTAACAGACACAGAAGCTTTTCACAAACCCTAATAATGTAACACTATCTTGTAACTGGAACTGTGAATACCAGCGAGACATCCTCTTACATCGACCAATAGATTTGACATGTGTCTAGAAACATCGACGCTTATGGAGTCAGAGTTACGCGGCTGAGCGTGGGCGATTGTGGCCTCATTGATAGCTTATTTTCACTTGCGTACGAGGCGCTCGCCTCGTGACTCGCAACCCTCGCGTCCGTAGCTGTTTTTTGATCTCGAGTCAAAGGACCTGGCGACAAACGCAAGCGTGGTGTTTTGCCGCGCGTATTGTTTGCTTTCAAACTGCTTAAATGGATTGGTCGCAAGAAGAAACGTTTCGGTTTCTAGAATTATTTCAAAAGGAACCGATAATTTGAGATCGCAAACATAAATTCCACTAAAATAACCAAAAACCAAACGATGCATGGACGAAATTATCTCAAGACATGTGTAGAACTCCAACCGAATTAAAAAATAAGAAAAATTCTCGTATGGCAACGTTTCGCCAGAATCTTTGGCTCAGAAAACAATCTAATTTCATCCGGCGCCGGAGAAGATGATATTTACAAGCCAGTGCGGGTGTATTACGATGTTATGTAAGCATTTTTAGTATTTTTTGTTTACTTTTCTTTTATTCAAATTAATTGCGTAATAGTAGATGCTCAGTATGCAAAGACTTGTTGCCGCTAAAACTTCGGAGTCCTCCTTTGTTGCTAGCTCAAAGACAACTGAACTCACCATGAGAGTGTAAACAGGAAGCTCATTTACCTTCGATCACGCGAGGTGCGGACCGTGACACGGGGCGAGGTACGAAGCGAGCGTGTAAACCACATATGAGGAGCTTCGGTAGACATCGGGAGCGTTCGAAACGTATCGATAGCCATCTCGACACCTTTGACAGCGAATGTTCTGAAGTTTGTTGAATTCAAAATAAGTACTCGTATACAGGAGCTTCCACCAGGGGACCATTTAATGGACAGCGTCCGATGTACAAGCTATAGTACAGTCGACATGGTTATTAATTTGTCATAAATTAGACTAAGCAGTCAAAAAGTGCGTTTTCGTTACAGTAATATAGTATTTCTACAGTAATTAATATAGTGCAAATAATAGAAAAAACATGAATCTTGTTAGTTGAAATATTGAGAACTCGGAGACAGCTGTATCACTAGCTCTAAAAAGTATTGATTTTCAGTCGTATGTAAATATAATATACAGGGTGTACCTTAATGATATGCGAATATTTAAGGGTGTGAATCTACATGAAAAATTAATGATAGTTTGCTTTATAAACTATGGTCCAAAAATGTTTCCTTACAAAAACTCGGGGTGTTGAAGTTTTAGGAAAAAAATGGAAATTAATATTTTCAGAACCGCTTCAGATGTTTCACTGATATTTAGTACTTAGGTGAAGTTAATAAAGTTGCATATTTTTAATGTAAAAATAATTTTTAGCTTTAACAGTGGCGTGCGTACGGGTATTGACTTCGATATTTTTTAAGAAAAAGATGGTACGCCAATGATTTTTTGCCAAATTAAAATTATTTTTGAATTCCCCGTTCAATTTAAAACAAATGATCTCTCTTGAATTGTTTTCTTTCGATGCGCCATTTTTGAGTAAAAAAATAAAAACCGTTCTCTTGTCTAACTTGCAAAATTATTATTAATTTAATTGGAGAAATTAAACACATTAGGGGTAATGAACAACAACAACTGACAACATAAACATAGCATTAAAACCAAGCTGCAACTATTCTTTCTCTAAATTCCTCTACAGTGTTAATGGGACTTGTGTACACTAGTGTCTTACGACAGCCCCACAAAAAGAAATCTAAACTGTTGAGGTCTGGGGACCTTGGTGGCAATTCTTGGGGCCCACCGCGGCCAATCCCACGATTTGGATAAACAGTTTGTAAATAATTACGAACCGCTACACTGAAATGCGCTGGTGCACCATCATGCGTGTACCACATATTGTTTCTTATTACTAACGGAACATCATCAAGCAGAAAAAGCAACTATTGTTAAAGAAAATTGAGGCCAATAAACTGGTTGTCAATAATTTCGCCCCATAAGTTAACCGAAAATTGGTGTTGGAAATGGGTTTCGGTTACGGCATAGGGATTTTCTTCTGCCCGCAAATGATTATTGTGGAAATTCTGAATGGCATTTCGAGAAAAAATTAGCTTCTTCCGTGAACAGAATCATTGATTCAAATTGCGGATTTTGTGTAACAAGACGACGATGAATATTAGAAAAGGTTCGACTATCTGGCAAAGCACGATCGAGATATCTCTGGTGATAAATCCGTCTGGCTTGCTCACCATTACCGTCGGCAAGGTTATATACGTAATCATGCATTTCCGCCATTTTTGCATTTGAATAATTCATCATTATATATATATATATATATATATATATATATTAAGATTGTAAAAACTAAATAATGAAAAAGATGTCACAGCGAACATATTTGAATAACAGAGACTTGTCAGATGTCAAAAGCCAGTGACATATTCCAGAGCAACTAGACATTTATTGCAAAATTGCATTCTTTAATTATTACATGAATTTTCTCGGACAATAGAACGGTTTTTATTTTTTCACTCAAAAATGACGCATCGAAGGAAAACAATTCAAAAGATCATTTGTTTTAAATTGAACGGGGAACTCAAAAATAATTTTTATTTGGCAAAAAACCATTGGCGTACCATTTTTTTCTTAAACAATATAGAAGTCAATACTTGTACGCACGCCACTGTTAAAGCTAAAAATCATTTTTTATTGAAAAATATGCAACTTTAACAACTTCCACTAAGTACTAAATATCAGTGAAATATCTGAAGCGGTTCGGAAAATATTAATTAATTTCTATTTTTTTTCCTAAAACTCCAACACCCCGAGTTTTTGTAAGGAAACATTTTTGGACCATAGTTTATAAAGCAAACTAACATTAATTTTTCATGTAGATTCACACCCTTAAATATTCGCATATCATTAAGGAGCACCCTGTATAATATAAATGTAGGTTTTTGAGTATGGTATTTGGGTCATTCTTACTTCCAGCGACAAGAAAAAGAATCTTATTAGCTTCACCGACTTAAAACTGCGATAATTTGTCATTACCACGAATAAAGTTCACGACTGCGGCAGCATTAATTCTATGGCTGTGAGTATAATGAACCGTGGCTCGCCTAGCTTCAAATCTGTTTTGTTTATATTGTTAGTTTACATGTTTTATCACAAATCTTGCCCAACTAATACTTGCTGCAAGAAAAAGTAATATAATTTTTTTTTATACTCCAACTACCACGAAGGCCTAAGGCCTAAGCACCCATTGGGTACCGTGTGGTATAGGGGGATACATGGGAAAGGGGGGGACGCCACACGGACTCTGGCGAGGGAACACGTGTGCATGCAACATGCACATATTCTGGCTCCGCCTACGAGAACCGCCGGGTACCTCCGCGTTCGACAGTCATAGACCATCTACCACCTACGGACAATCACAACATCCATAGCCAAGAGAAAAATGTCTCCTGGGACGGGACTCGAACCCGCACAGCGCACGGCGACTGATCAGGAGATCGAAGAGTACTACTGCGGTCACCGCTGCTGCCTGAACAGGCATAATTTTGCAAAATTGCCTCAAATGTTGTAACCACGGTTTTGACGTGGTATACCCCCACCATCTAGGTAAATTGTTTGCTAGTGTTGCAAAAGTTAGATAATAAAATCTACTGATTTTCTATCACAAATCTCACAGACCACGGCGCTTTCAATTATCCTGGATCTAATTTATATTTTAACACAGTTATATGTTGTATTTATACTTTATAAAATAGAGTGATATGTTTACATTACGTAATTACTTTTAAAAGTAAGTTACATATTAGGATTTTACCTGCATGAAGCATTATTTGTTTCGTTGAAAATAAGAATCACCCAGTGGCTAATATATCCCTGATTCATAGCATAACCCAATTTAAGGAGAAGATCCAATTCACAGATCATCCAAGGAACGAAATACTGTTGGTTCTCACGTTTGTGCTGGTCTGTGTTTTTATCACAATTCACTATTGTGAAGGCGAGCCCCACAACGCTTGTTGTGATTGTGTACAAGTATACTAAGTGACATACATATGTATAAATCCGAACACCCGGTTTAAATGGTTTTATTTTAATAAAAGTTGGTGAATGTATTTATCTTACTGTAAATAACAAGTGAAAAAATTTTCAGCCTTATCAGTTGGACATTCCGGTTTTTATACTGCTTTTTTTAATTCACTAACGCTCTAAAAATGAATATTTCAGCCGCAGTAAAGAATCAACGTTGGCGGATTTTGGTTCTTGACATCCTTTACGATCGGTTACGATGCCTAGAGTACGGAGACCTGTACGATTTCGTCAACTTAGTGAGTTTGATAGGGGCCGTATAGTGGGACTTCGGGAAGCTGGACTTTCTTTTCGGGCAATTGCAGTTAGAGTGCAAAGAAGTGTAGACACTGTGGTTAGGTGTTGTCAGGCATGGCTTCGAGAAGGCCGTACGCAAAGAGCAAGGGCCACTGGACGCCGCCGTAGAACAACAGACCGTGAAGATCGCCGCCTAAGATTATTGGCCTTAAGGGACCGTTTCTCCACTACCAGGTCCATTGCAAATGAATGGTTTGCAGAACACGGAAGATCTAGTGGCATGCGAAGTGTTTACCGACGAATAAGAAGTTTTGGCTTGTTTTCATACCGGCCACACTGGGTCCTCCCTTTAACTCGAGAACACCGACGTAATCGCCTTGAGTGGTGCAGACAACGGTCACTCTGGGATCAGGAATGGAACAGTATTGTCTTTAGTGACGAGTCACGATTTTGTTTAGGCATGCACGATGGTCGTGCCTGGGTTAGAAGGCGACGTGGTGAAAGGAGGAATCCACAGTTTTTTGTTGAAAGACATGT